TAAATAAATAAATAAATAAAATAAAAAAATATTTTATTTTTATTTTGTTTATTTATTTATTTAATTTGAAATGTGTTACTTTTTTATTAATTTCATTAAACATGCACCATAACTCTCTTATGTGGAACACAAGTATGAGATAATTACAATAAACGCCCACAGAGCATTTTATGAGTGTAACTTTTGTGAAACCTGTTGAGATAAAACAGTCAACACATCATTTATGTGTAAACACACACACACACACACACAAGTATGTTTATTTTGGGTTTTTCCACCATATGTGTTGTGTGTGTGCTACTTGAGACTCTACAAAACCCCATCCCATCATCTGACACACTCTATCAATCACATCCAGCATTGACGGATGGTCAGACTCCTTTAATCAAATCAATACATCATCAGGGCTCAGTCAAAATGTCCCACAGAAACCAAAAGCAAATCAACCATAAGATTGATGTGGTGTAAAAAAACAAAACAAAACAAAAAGTTTTAGTTTTATCTTGAAAATTGAGGAATCGTTGAACAATCTGTACATTTATAATAATAATAATAATAATAATAATAATAATAATAATAATAATAATAATAATAATAATAATAATAACAATAATAATAATAATAATAGTTTTAATAATAACAATAGTAATAATAATAATAATAATAATAATAATAATAATAATAATAATAATAATAATAGTTATAATAATAATAATAATAATAGTAATAATAACTACTATTATTATTATTATTATATTAAAATTTTCTTTAAACGTTTTTTCAATGTTGAGTCAAATAAGCAGCAATGGCACAGAATTGTTTTGCCTTGATCTCAGCTCCGAGCCCATGTAAAATCAGCTCTGTTTCACAAAACTGCCGACTACGGTAAAGCTGAGCTGTAGTTTCAGTGCTGCACAAACGGGCTGAAAGAGGAATGAAGTGATAGAGCAGTAGATGAAGAGGGAGACGCTGTGCTCATCTCGGCTTCAGAGCGACACCGAGTTGACAGTTGGCCTGAAGACATTTCCATCTGAGCTCGTCTTCACTCGCTGCGACTGCTGCACTTTGTCTGAACCCTCATTTACACTGCAGCGATACTGTTGTCAGATCGCTTCAAAAGTGATGAATAAGAGCTTGTTAACACATTATTTGCTCAAAAAGAGGAGTGTGAAATTTGCATTGTTAAATTGTATTGACTATGTGGTGAGGGTTTGTTTGGTTAATGTGTGTTGGGTAAAATGCAAAGTTGTATGAGATACAAAGTTTTGACATGTTGCTGGATTGTCTGTTAGTTTTTAGACCTGTCTGAGTGTGAGTTATTTACCAGATCAGCTGTTTTGGGTTTTGGTGTGAGATAAATAATAATAATAATAATAATAATAATAATAACAACTCAATAACATTGAAAAACTAGGTAACACTTAATTTTAAGGGTCCAAAAAATGCATTAGTTAAGCATTAATTAATGGTAATTTGTAAAAAATTAAGAATTAGTTATGAAAAAAGCACTTGTAACTAATGGTTAACTTAACATGTTTAGGGTCCCGAAAAATGCATTTGTTAAGCTCAGTTAAACTTGTAAATCATGTAAATCACTTGTTTACAATTATGCATTAGTTAAGCATGAGCAAACACATCATTCATGATTAACTGAACATACAAAGTACAATTTGATAAGGTGTATATTATTTATGTAATTAATTAAAGTTATGTCCACATTAATAATGGCACTTGTTACATTGACTAGAATTAGCTAGTAGCTAATTAAGGCTAAAATGTCATTAATACAGTGCTAATAAAGGCAATTTGACCCCCTATTCTGAAGTGAAAGTTATATCCACATAATTAATAATTCAGGAGCCTTAAAATGCTGTTAGCCGTTCATTACTAGTGTTTTTGCTCTTTACTAATGCTTATAAGGCATTTTTTGGGCCCTTAAAATAAAGTGTTGCCAGAACAATCAAAAATGAACTTTTTAAACTTTTAAACTTTTTTTAATGAATAAAAATCTGGTATTTTATTTTACATTGTAATTAATTTGTGAAGTGTAAAAGCTGCTGTAAAATGTGGGAGAAAGCTGCTGTAAATGCTAAACAAATAAATAAATAAATAAACCAGAAAGAGGTATTTTATTTTGCATTTAAACACATTAAAACAGCTTTTCAGAACTAAAAAGAAAAAAGTATTTATTTATTATGTGATTTAATTAAAGTGTAAAAGTTGCTGTGAAAAATTATTAAATGTTAAAATAGAAAATAAAAAAACAACTAAAAAAATCAAGTCATTGTTATACACTATTAGTAAGAGTGATTTAAATAAATAAATAAATGAATAAACAAATAAATAAAAATTATTATTATTATTATTATATACATATTTTCAATACATGAACATATAATAACAATTAAATAAACAATAAATAAATAAATAAATAAATAAATAAATAAATAAATAAATAAATAAATAATAACTCATTTAATTTAATTTAGATTAACCAGTATGACTACTTAATCAATTTACAATTTTTTTGTTAAATGTCTATTTTGTAAGTTAAAGGAGCCCCATGTTTTCAGTGTGCAACAAAAATCACCATACTGTGAGGTTGAACAGTACAAATATTTGCGTGCACTTGGTCAAACTGAAAAAAAGTAGAACAAAGAAAAGACAAACAGTCTTTTTCTTCTGTCATCCCTTGTTCTGCCTGCTCACTGTGGATCTAAAGTAATCTATTTTAATGAGGACATCCATTGATACGCAGGCCGGACAATTGCCCTAAAGAGTCATCAAATAAAAACAGAGGAAAACAAATGAAGGTAATCAGTGCGAGAGGGAAGTGAACTTTCTGTGCAGGTTTTTTTTTCGGGGCAGGAGAGAGATAAAGCATGGAGCTGTAATAGTATGAGACAGAGCCAGCATTTCCCTTCATCTCTCCAGGGAAACTCTGACAGAAACAATCCTCGTATCTCCTGGCCCTGTTTTCCAGCAGCCACAGTGTTTACTTACAAGTGCATTTCTCCTCTCAATTTGTTCTCTCCATCTCCTCTCACGCAGCATTAAGGCAAAGGTGAATGGGGCATTTTTATTACAAGTTTTCTAAAATGCTTTGTTTCATTATGCAAATGAGATATATTTTTATTAAATTGCACAAATTTGCATACAGTCAAGTTAAATATTATATATATATATATTTATATATACATATATAATTCTGACACCAACTGTATATATATATATATATATATATATATATATATATATATATATATATATATATATATATATATATATATATATATATATATACAGGTGATGTCAGAATTATTAGCCCCCCTTTAATTTTTCTGTTTTTATATATTTCCCAAATGATGTGAAATAGGGCAATAGAATTTTCACAGTATGTCTGATAATATTTTTTCTATGGAGAAAGTGTTATTTGTTTTATTTCTGCAAGAAAAAAAGCAATTTTAAATTTTTTAAAAGCCATTTTAAAGTCAAAATTATTCGCCCCTTTAAGCTATATTCTTTTAGATAATCTATAGAACAAACCATTGTTATAATATTAATATTAATATAGTAATATAATAACTTGCCTAATTACCCTAACCTGCCTCGTTAACCTAATTAACCTAGTTAAACTTTTAAATTGGTCTTTAAGCTAAATACTAGTGTCTTGAAAAAAAAAATTAACAGAAATGAGGGAAAAAATTAACAGGGGGGCTAATTTAGGACATAATATGGCCAAAAGTTTTTTTTTTTTACAGAGGAGAATTTAGCCATTTATTTTCAACTTCATAATTCAAAATGAAATCTTGTATATGACTTATAAAATCTAGTTTTGAGAAAATCAGCTTTAAAAAATATGTATTGTAATTGATCTATAGGCAGAAATTGATCAAATGCGACAAAAGAAGCACTTAAACACTGTATATTTTGGATGATTATTTCCATTACACTCAGGGGATAAAAAGACAAATTTTACAGGTGAATAAAATAAAAACAAAATTTAATTAAAATGTTTTTGCCTGTAATGTCTCACCTTTAGAAAAGAAAAGCAACACCTAATGTTGTTTAACAAACGCTGAATGGTGGGGAATAAGCTGGATTATTTTCCTTACACACACCGGTGTAACTTGAGAGTGAATTTAGCCATAGATACAAGGACACTGGAAAGCAAACACTAGATTTTTGCTGAAAAGTTAAACTGGAATAAGAAATAAGAAATGTTTCTTCCTTTCTGTTGAACACAGAAGAAGATGTGTTGAGGAATGTGGAAAATGGGTAGCCACTGACATTTATAATAGCGAAACAAATATTATGGAATAGCAGTTTGCAGCAATTTTCAAAGTATTTTATTCTGTGTCCAAAAAAAGAAAGTACAAAAACAGACTTGGAATACCTGTCGAGACCTTGACATTTTATCACTATCCAATGATCCAGTTATCCAAGACTTTATACTTTATATTATATTTATTATATTATATTTATCAAATATATTTTATATTTTTAAAATTGTCAAAGTAAAATACAATTCCAAACTTTAAAAAACTCTAAATAAATACATATTTTTGGACGTTATCATTAAGTCAACAGAGTGAAAATTCAAAATGCATTACTTTCATGAAATGTTGACAGATATTTTTGCTATTTTTTATGTTTTTTTTATCCACAATAGTTAAGAAAGTGATTCTAGCAAATGAAAGTTTTAATGTGGAACAGCTGGCAAAGTCATATCACTGCATTTATTTGGGATTCTGAGATTCTACGAAACCTTAAACGGCCAAATTCACCCCGGGCGCACACACACATAACACACAACACACAGAAAATCCAGTAGCCGTGTCTGAACAGTGGTGCAATATGGGGCAAATTAGAAGGCAAAGCCCTTGCCCGCCCCAGGCAGATCTTTCTGGAACTCAAGCGCCCCCCCCCTCTCCCATCCGCAGCGGTCCGTCTGCCACCCCTTGTGCGCAGCGACAGGGTATTTGCACCGCTGAGGAGAATGTGAGCTAATGAAAGCAAAAGCCTGTGTTCACTAGAGTATAAAATTCACATTTGGCCAGTGCAGGCTGTGCAATCTGATATTATGAGGCTGTCCGACACACACACAGGCACATATACACACACACAGCAGCAAGGAAAAGAGCTAAAAAGACACGGAGAAAGACAAAAGGCGAATAATATTTGAAGGATTGTGTCCTGGGATTTCGGTACATGTTCTGTGGCTTCTGTGTTTTAGGAATTAAAAATATTAAAAGAGATAACTTTTTGGAGATTGTCGTCAAATCAACATGAAATAATTAATTCTGAGGTGATTTAATTATCAGAAAGAAACGCTGAGTTTGTTTCAAGATGGCAGCCGTGCAGGACAACGTTGGCTCTGCTGAAGATACAGGCGAAATAAGGTATTGTGTGTCGCCATCTTGATTTTTCCGTGTATACATGTGTGTGTGTGTGTGTGTGTGTGTGTGTGTGTGTGTGTGTGTGTGTGTGTGTGTGTGTGTGTGTGTGTGTTTTAGTGCCGCTTGTTTTGTCAGGTTAGAATCAGGGTCCAATGGTACACAGGGAAAAAAGAAAAAAAAAAACGAGGTCATTCAGAGGGTAACGAAGTGACATGCTAAACAGGAAGGAGCAGCATCCAATCTGAGTCTCGCACTGCAGACTACAACTCTGATTGGTTGCAGACGATCACAACACAAAATGCCGTCACTTGACAGGACTGTTTCACAATGATGCGGCAAACCTATAAAATGCTAAATATATGTGTAAGTTCAAAAAAATACTTCACCTTAAATATCCAAAATAATAATATAATATTTATTTATAATATTAATACATCAATTGTATAATTTTGACATATTTAAAACCTTATTATGTATCTTTATAGGTCCACTAATACAAATAAATATATTTAAAAAAAATTCTAATATACAATATAATATAATATAATATAATATAATATAATATAATATAATATAATATAATATAATATAATATAATATAATTGTCATATTTAATATCTTATTACTTATTTTTATAGATGCACTGTGATACAAATAATATATTAATTGAATTTGTACTAATATAATATAATATAATATAATATAATATAATATAATATAATATAATATAATATGATATAATATAATATAATATAATATAATATAATATAATATAATATAATATAATATAATATAATATAATTTTGTCATGTTTATTTTTGTCAAGCTCATTTATTACTATATATTTTGAAACATATACATTTGGATAATTTGTCCATAATTAATTCCACATTAATTACTTTCAAATATTCACTATGATTTGAATTTTTATTTATTTATTATTATTATTTTTTTGGCCTAAGTAATTTATTGGATAACAATGCAATACAATACAGTACAACATAACAAACATTATTTTCTTGACGAATATATTATTAAAATATTTGCTGTAATTTATACTTTTGTATTTGATCATATTCAGTATCTTATAACTAATAATTAGATTAATATATGAAATAGCACAGATTCATTACATTATATGTCTGTCAAAAACAGAGAAGTAAAACAACGACTTTTTAAGGATAAATGAGTAAGCGTTCGTTGATGAACATGATGTCTTTTTTACAGGTCTTAGGGGCTGAGTGTCAGGACAATAGAAGTACTCTGGTTCGGTTCAAAAGTTCAGTTGCATTACAGGCGCATGACCTATTTTCCATGCTGAAAGTTTGGCATCAATCTTCCTCATTCTGCACCCTCCGCTCAATTCACTGCAACTGCACTAATCACAGTAAACTAGGCCATCAGTGACCACGCCTGCGTCACCCACCGCATTCCTGCACTATCAGACCCATTCTGTTCATTAATATTATATATTCACGCTTTTAATGATTTGCATTAAATCATATTACCATGGCATAATAACATAATGTTCGTTAAAAAAAATAAAAAAGCAGCATGTTTCAAATATAAATATGTGTGTATCAGAGTGGATCAAATCCATAAAAAAGAAACCATCATCGACCATGGTGAAGTTATATATTATATTAAATTCATATCATTAAACTTAATACAACTTTCTACATTTATTTATTTACTCACTAATTTAATTTAATTTAATTAATTATTATTATTTTTTATTAAGAGACAAACTTTTTAATAACTAAAAGCAACTTTCAAATGCAGATAAAAAAAAAAATAATAAAAATACCCCGACTTTTTCACGACCTGCAGTGGAGATCCTGATGAATGTTTAGTAATGATGTGGCTTTTCCATATCAGTTCAGAAGCATCAAAAGGACTCATCCTGCATTACTCACATCAGACAAGACTGATCAATGCCAGGATCAAAGGTTAAAAAAGCCTGACCAATCAGATGACTTATAGCGACTTGACTTTTTTTTTTATGAGACCTAAATGAGACGGTGGTCTGGGTGAATCAGTAGGGCATTTATGAGAAGTCAGCTTGCAATTACCATCATGAAACAGCAGAAATTACAGCCATACCTTTATGATTGCAGACCAGCGGTTTAAACCTCATATCAATACTACTGTTCGGATCTGGTTTCAGGGTCACACAAACACTTATACACACACTCTCATCATACAGTGTACTCCATAAATATTTACAACATTGAAATTAACAAATAACGCAAAAAAAAAAAAAGGAAAACATGAATATTTAAACAAATAAACGAATGAATGAACGAACAGACGGAGGGACAGATGAATGAATGAACGAATGAACGAACGAATGAACGAACGAACGAATGAACGAATGAACAGGTGTGCCAGAGTTATTGGCACCTCTATGAATTTATATGAGAACATTTTTAAATATACTTGTATAGTTATTATTATTATTTTTTTACATTTTTAATCCATCTGTGTGACGAGGAAACTAAATTGTTCAATTTTGAACTAAAATTATATGGTGTATTTATATATTATACATCACAATGGATAAAACCAAAACATCTTTTAGTTTCACAAAATGGCTTTAAGGAAAGTGTAGAAACACTGAAAATACTCATTTCCTCCAGTCAGCAATGGAATGAATAGTTTTCCCAGTATTAGGCTGCAACCCCTCATAAATAAAAGGACTAAGCCAAATGAAAAGGAAAGAATAGTGCTAGGAATTGGCTTGGAAAAGGACGTGTGACTGTTAGAAGGACGGTTTGAGGGTCCAAAAACATACATATAAGTAAATTAAATTAATAAATAAATTTCGAAAAATTACAGCTAAAAAATTGCAGAATTAATTTTGGTCTTACACAAAAAAAATAATAATAATAAAAATATTTTGATGCTTGTTCAAACTACTTACTCAAGTTAAGCTAAAACAACACAATTTTTGAAATTGTGTGGAACCCATGCAATTTTTTTTCCAGTGTAGAGAGTCAAAAAGTCTCTTTTCGACTACAAATTTGATGTCACCTTTAACAAAACAACTGGTTTTAATGTAACTGAATCATCTTTTTTTTTATTCTTTTGTAACTGAATGAAGATTTTTGTTCATGAGTTTTCTTTTTTATTTTTTTGACTTTTTTTTACTGATTTGTTTTTTTTTATGTTCAATCCGCTTATAAAAACTAACAGACTGACTTAATTCCTTCTTGTTGTTCCAACATTACAGTACTTATATTTACCAGTATTAGTGCACTGAAAAGCACACACACTTGAGGAGAGTTTTTCAGTAAGTTCCTCCATATCTAGGTCAGCATCGCATGAGTCCGTTGAGGAGCGTAATTACAGGCCAAAAGCTGGGCTGAACATTTCTGTGTCGTTCTCTGTGTCTCGTAGCCTGCAGTGGGGAGCGATGGTGCCGCACTCTTTATGTAACGGGGTGAAAGACGGGCAAGTGTGTGCCTCAGGTGGGCACAGTTCGCTTGAGCGGCTCGCATCACTCGCTCTGACCGACTGTTCCTCACCATAATGCTTGCCTGACCCATTTGCATGAACAACACAAGCTTTAGAACCAAGTCGAGCATTTTCAAAAGAATTCGATTATTTAAACCATTACACTATTTAGATGTATTAGTAACAATACAATTATTATAGATTTATAAAATAACAAGACAAGTTTTTTATTACCCCTGATGATGGCTGTATCTACTTTTTAAACAATAATGCATTTTGTTGTAAATAAAGCAGAATTGATTATGAGGACTACAAATTTGTGATTGTAAAAATGTGTCAATTTAATTGAAATTCAAAAAAGGAAACACATGTATGTTCTAAGTAAAACTGTTATGAACACACTGTTATTGAAGATCATTTTTAAAAGGAACTATTTAAGATTTGTTTTCTACTCTAAAGCGTGACAGTGTGTTTGATTAAGTGTGTTTTATTTGTCTTTTCTGTCTAAGTATTTGTGAAATTTAGCAGCTTCTGAATGAAAAATAATTCAACACAGCTAATTTTGATTCTTGAAATGTTCTTATGGAATATTTTTTTTTATTTTTATAACAGTGCAATGATTTTATAAATACAATACTTATAATGATACATTACCAAACTTGTTACTAAAATTGCAGCAAGTTAGTGTGCTACTGGCTATTTCCTATTATTTATTAAAATTTGCTAGAAACTTCTGAAAATAATTTTCTATATCACATCATATGTTTAAATTATATATAACCAAAATGTTATATATATAACATTTTTAAAAATAAATATAAATGTTAAAATTTATTGTTAAAACTTATTTGTAATGTTAAAAAAAATCACATTTAGTTTTTGTTTTGTTTTAAAAGATTGATCTGTTTTGGGCCAATTGCATTAATCGGATTTGTGAATTTATAACTAACAATACTTATACTAATGTCTAATAATAAAAATACATAATGTTTAATACAGTCTTATCTTGCCAATTCTTTGCAATTATTGGTTCAATTCTCAATATCTCATTATTTTAATAAAAATATATATTCTAAATACTTTTGTGTGTTCTATTCTATTCTATCTTTACTTACTTTAACTTATTTATACACAAAATATGTACAATATTTTATAGGTTGTTAAAAAAAATTATATATCATTATGATATAATGATGATTTATGAACCAGAGCATTTATAAACAACAAATAATAAAACATGCCAATGTGAATAAAAAAAGAAAACATTGTGCATTAAAAAGCATTAAGTTAAAAAGAAATCCAAATCAATATGTGTACATTATACTAAATATTGTATCATGTATATCAATACTAATATGCTCATGTTAAAAATAAATCATTGTAAATCTCAGCATAACAAACTTGGTAAACACACTCATATTTAGACTGACTTCAGTGCTAAATTTAAATGCAAAAAAAAAGAAGCAAATGTCAAATTACACACGTCTGGGTCTCGGTTGCTTGTGGTCAGCCTGTGAACATGTCGATCGACAATAGAAGCGTTATTA